GGATCTATACCCACCAGATACCAATAGCACCCTGGCCCTAAGTTGTGACAACCAAAAATGTCTCCAGACATTGCCAAATAACCCTCAGGGGGCAAAATCATTCCCGTTTGAGAAACTGAAATAGATGCAGAAAAAAACATTTGACAAAACCCCAACATCCATTCATGTAAAAACTCAGCAAAATGGGAATAGAAAATTCCTCAAACTAATAAAGGGCATCTAGGAAAAACCTACAGCTAACATCATATTTAATGGTGAAATACTAAATGCTCCTCCCCAAGATTGAGAACAAGGCAAAAGACACCTGCTCTCACACTTCTTTGCAACAATGTAATGGAGGTTCAAGCCAAAGCAAAAGGCAAGAAAAAACAAATTACAGTCGCCCAGAATGGAAGAGAAGAGGAAAACCAACTTTATTCATAGAGGACATGATCTTGTATACCGAAAATCTAAGTTATCTACCAAAAAAACGACTTGAACTAATAAGTGAATTTAACAATGATGAAAACCAAATGTCCTATTTACAACAGTATCAAGAAGAATAAATTACTGAGGAATAAACTTAACAAAGAAACTGCAAGACCTGTGCACTTAAATCTGTAAAACATTGCTGAAATTAAGATCTAAATAAATGTAGAGATATAGTAAGTTCATGGACTGGAAGATTCAATACTGTAAAGATGACAGTTCTCCACAAATTGATCTATTGATTCAATGCAATCACTATCAGATTCCAAGCAGATATTTTTGCATGAATTGGCAAGCTGATTCTAAAATTTACATGGAAATGTAAAGGTATCAGGATAGCCAATAAAGTTTTTGGAGAAAAAAAAGTTGGAGGATGCACCCTACCTTACTTATTATACTATATTTTTAAAAACAGATAAACTGGGCTTCATCAAAATTAAAAACTTTCACTCTCTAAAAGACACAATTAAGAAAATGAAAAGATAAGGCCACAGACTGGGAGAATATATTTGCAAATCATGTACCTGATAAAGGACTTGTATCCACAATATATAAAGACTCAATAATAAGACCAACAACACAATTAAAAAATGAGTAAAGAATCTGAATAGACATTTCACCGAAAAAGATACACAAATGGCTAATAATCATATGAGAAGATAGTCAACATTAGTCATTAAGAAAGTACAAATCAAAACCACAATGAGATACCATTACACACCTAGTAAAATAGCTATAATAAAAAAGACTGACCATACCAAGTGTTGGCGAGGATATGGCGCATCCAAAACCCACATATATTGCTGGTGGGATTGTAAAATGGTACAGCCACTTTGGAAAACAGTTTGGCAGTTTCTTGGAAAGTTTAACAATTCAACTCCTAGGTATTTTCCCAAGAGAAACGTAAACATATGTGCACACAAGGACTTGTAAGCAAATGTTCATAATATATAATTATTCATAATAGCCAAAACCAGAAATAATCAAAATGAATAATCAGCTGCTGAATGGATAAACAAAATGTGATAGAAACTGTGATACTGTAATATAATAAGAAATGTGTATTTTGGTCTTCATCCCCAGCTCCTGGCTAGAGCGCCTAAAATCTTTGTAATTTCCTAAGCGATAAAGGTGCTAGGAGCATCTTTTGTTGTAATATGTGGTTTTTGACCCCAGTTCCTGACATAGAGTTCCTAAATCCCTTGGAATTTCCTGAGTGATAGGAGCGTCTTTGGCTAATGAAGCAACTTGGTGGGCTCCTGGATAGTTTCAGGATGGGGACTGGTCACCAGAAAGTCAAGCCATGATTAGAAGCTTGGAACTTTCAGCCCCAACCCCATCCTCCAAGGAGGGGAGAGGAGCCAGAGATAAGAGTTATTACTCGATCATGCCTACATGATAAAGCCTCAAGGTTCAGGGAGCTTCTGGGATGGTGAACACATCCATGTGCTGGGAGGGTGGCATACCCCAACTTCATGGGGACAGAAGCTCCTGTGCTTGGGACCCTTCCAGATCTCACCCTATATACCTCTCCATCTGGCTGTTCATCTGTATCCTTTATCATATCCTTTATTATATAATAAAGCAGTAAATGTAAGTGTTTCCCTGAGTTTCGTGAGTGTTACAAATAATTGAACCTGAGGAAGGGGTCGTGGAAACGGCCCATTTGCCGCCATGTCAGACAGAAGTGTGGATAACCTGGGGACCCACTACTTGATACTGGCGTCTGAAGTGGGGGCAGTCTTTTGGGACTGAGGCCTTAACCTATGGTGTCTGATGCTACGTCTGGGCACACAGTGTCAGAATTGAGTTGAACTGTAGGACTCTCAGCTGGTATCAGTGACTTAGCCGGTGTGGGAAAAACATTCACACATCTGGTCACAGAACGTTATGACTGGTAGAGCGCAAAAGAAACAGAGTTTCCCTTTTATAACCTTAGTACTACTCAGTAGTAAAAAGGAGCAAAGTACTGATACATTCAACAACATTGGTGAACATCAAAAACAATGCACTACCTAAAAGAAGGCAGACACAAAAACTATATTGTATTAATCTGTTTATATGAAATTTCTAGAAAAGGCAAAACCAAAGAGACAAAAAGTAGACCAGTGTTTGCCTGGGGCTGGAGTTGGGAGCAGGAATTGATTGTAAACAGGTAAGAGAAAACTTATTGGGGTGAGGAAAGCGTTTTAAAACAAGATTGTGATGTTGGTTGCAAAACTGCATAAATTTACTGAAGATAATCAAAGTGTACATTTATAAGAGGCAAATTTTATGGTATTTAAATTAAACCTCAAGAAAACTATTTTGAAAAGGGCTTGGATGTTTCAGCACTGTCAAATTGCTATAAAAGTGTTTCTAAACACTCTCCATTTCTAAATATTTCTCCAGTCACAGACAGGCACTGGTCCCTGGATCACACTCGAAGAAGCACTGATCTAACTGACTTGTGCAAGGTGTTGGCTAAACGGCTTGGAGCAATCAACAGTTGTAATTGAAATTGACCTTAATATAATTTAAGCCATTCAAGTTTAACTCCACTAAATATTTCATTAAATAAGACATTCACAAGTATTACTGACACAAGGAAAATATGGAATCATGGTCTATTGTGGAATAAAAACTAAACTTATTACAAAATGACACCTTGTAAATGACTTGTCACTAGAAAACAAAAGCTACGATAGTACCTCTCCTTTTAATGTATTATAACTAAGTTGAAAAAATCAGTATAATTATTCGTACTAATGAAACCCATAACAATGAAATTTTAAATATATAAATGAATAAAGATAGAATTTTATAAGCATTTTGTACTTCTTTGGTCCAAATATCAGGCACGATTATATGTACAGATTTGTTTCGGAGAAAATCCTAACAACATATAAGCTTTTATTTCCAACTAGGTGTAAATCGAGGCTATATTCAATCAAAATTTGTTAGCACTTAATGCCTATGATATGGTCTAAAATTTCAATTCATTTTATAGTAATTAGATACCGGGCCGGCCCCTCGGCTTAGCGGTTAAGTGCGCGCGGTCTGCTGCTGGCGACCCGGGTTCGGATCCCGGGCGTGCAGCGACGCACCACTTGTCCGGCCATGCTGAGGCCGCGTCCCACGTACAGCAACTGGAAGGATGTGCAACTATGACATACAACTATCTACTGGGGCTTTGGGGGGAAAAAATAAATAAATAAAATTTATAGTAATTAGATACCAATTACGAAAAGCAGTAATACTTTTTTACAGCTCTGGCAAAACACAGACATGAAATAAAGAATCTAGTTTTAAAAAGGTCAAAGCAATCTGCTTATAAATGCTAAACTTTTCAGATGAAATTATTTTATTTTAAAGCCTGGAATTCTATTTTTACTGTAGTATTTCTCATTTGCAAGAGGAAAACAGATACTCAATGTTTCAGGTATAACTGGGAAAAAAGCAAACAATTACGATGATTAAGAAGAAACAAACTTGGGTTATAAAAACTTTTCAGTTGATAAATCTCATTGCATAGAACAGTTCAACCTCTTTAGTAATCTAACCATTCCTTAGAACTCAGATTTTCTTTATATAGATATACTAAACAATGAAACTACAGCTTTTAAAACCACAAGCAGCTCTGGTATATTATTTTCTTATAATGAGGTTTTTGAAGTGCCAAGTCAAAATTAAGCTTAAAAGCATTTCCTTCATATTAAACACAGGAGACCTGGATCTATAGTTTTGTTTTGAAGTAAAGAACATTAACTTTAAATTGAAAATTAAATTGAATGACGGGGAAAACCCATGATCGCTATGGTCATTTTTTTAACAAATATATTCCAGTCATGGATGTATAATAGTTCTAGCACTATATTTATCCCTTTGCAGTTTTGCAGCTATTCTAGGAAAGTTGAAAAAGTGAGATCATAGAATCTTTGTTGTCCTTCCCCTCCTTATAACTATTCTTGATATTTTTTGACTCTTTGCTCCCTATATTTTACTTTAGACAAGAAGCAAGAGTAATAATCCCGGAAGGAAAGCTAAATAAAGAATCAAAAACTGGAAGCACTTACTCTTGCTTCATTTCCTGTCTCCAATGAAAGGTCAATTCACAGGACAGAGAACATCCTGCAGTTAAGTTATCTCCTCCACTCCCCCTAACATATGTTTACTCCCCAGAAAGTACATTTTCAAGATGCATTTGGCTTTCTTATAAGTATATTCCAATTTAATAGGTTTATAAGAGTATAAAAGCAATTGTTATATGAATTAATTCCCAAACTAGTAACACACAAAGCTATAATCTAATATCCACAAATACTTGGTTAAAGAGACAAAAGATAAACTTGTGACTGTTCTGTACTCTTCTAAAATTAACTGCAGTCATGACAAAAAGATAAGTTATAACTATCAGCAGTAGTGCATTGGGTGAGGGAAAGTATAACCATTCAAAACACATTCAGAGAACATTTTTTAAATATGTAGATATAAATGGTGATCACTACTCCACAACCATGCTTTTAACAATTTATACCCACATGTAATCTTACCCTTCTGGTTCTGTTTCCTAGACATTGCAGTTTCTTTGATCTCAAAAAATACAAAAGAAAAGTATTCTTTTGCGTTATCCGGGTCTGACTGTAGTTATCTCTGATTTAAAAGCAGGCAACAGAAGTCTATAGTTCGAGGTGGTAAATACAAAATCCTGGTTACTTGAAACTCTGCTCACTGTTGATCTCCTTTCCTTCTCTTGTATCAACTTCTTGTCAGGAAATATCATTGCAGACATTCATGTCTCTTTTTCCAGGGAGATGCTGGAGGGAAAAACACACAAACATTCACTATTACAGTAATAGCTACCTGAACAAAATTTCTAAGAGATATCCACAGGTTTTATTTTGTATTTTTTCTAAACAAAACTAGCTATTAAAAGAAAAGTACTCTAGAAAGAATGTAGCTGTAAAAAGCAATCTTTTTCTCCTTAAGAAACTTTAATCATAAAATCAAACCATCTTTTTATTTTTAGTTCAGAAAGCATGTTTTCTTAGTCTTATCTTTTGTACCTATTCTAAATATCTTATCCCCATCTCTGCTTCACAAACTAAAATATGACCTCTTATCACTCCCTAAGATCTTTCTCACCACCTGCTTTTCCTGCCCAAATCAAGGGTCTTTTAAGGAAAACTGAAACATCAAAATTTGAATTAGTCAATACTGCAGGAAGCTTCTATAAGTTGTAAAGATACAAATACTACTTTTTATATATTACTAAACTTTTAAAAATACATGCCCAAGATTTCAGGGTAGAGAAAGCATGATGAGGATCACAGAACTGTTATACCTGAACACCTGATAGGAAAAATATTTTACAAAACACAACCAAAGAAGGAAATGAGAGTAACCTTATACAAAATACTTCCCAAAGTGGAAGGAGGAGAATGAAGAAATGAGTAGATAGCCCTGGGAAAGTTAAAAAAAAAAAAAAAATCCACCAAGAGTTAGAGCCTCCATGGATATAGAGACTGGACAGGCAGGGGGTGGGCGAAATGGGTAAAAAGGGTCAAAAGGTTCAAAGGTTCAAATTTCCAGTTGTAAAATGAGTAAGTCATGAGGATGTAATATATGGCATGGTGACTATAGTTAATAATACTGTTTTGCATATTTGAAAGTAGCCAGGTGAGTGTATTTTGAAAGTTTTCATCACAAGAAAAAAAATTTTGTATGGTGACAGATGTTAACTGGATTTATGGTGGTGATCATTTTAGAATATATACAAATATCAAATCATTACGTTGTATATTTGAAAATAATATAATGTTATGTTAATTACACCTCAATAAAAAGAAGTAAGAGCCTCTACAAAACAATATGGGACCTCAGGAAAGACAGGCTGAACCTCCGGGCTTACTATCTTCCATTCTGCCAATTGGGAGAACCAGCCAAAGTCCATGGAAATACATGGAATTTACCACTGGATAGAGAGGGCCTGATAGAAAACATTTTATGAGAGTTTAGAAGAAAGAACAGAATTCAGATCTACAAAAAAGGATTAAACTCGTCAATGTCAAGCTCTTCTCTACCCTCACATCCTTAGCTTAAAGAAAAGATGATGAAAGCAATGATCAACAACTAACCATAGTTGATGACAAGATTGGGTGGGGATAGGCCCCAAATAAGGTGGGAAACATATCCAGGCTATTTCATCTATACTCTGAAACCACAAACAAAAGGTGTAAACACAGCTGGTGAAGAAGATAAATAAAAATGACACAGCAACTGTCAAATCTCCTATAACAAAAGAGAGAGACAATAAGAAAGAAGAAATTACCGTGCAGCAGATGAAGAACTCAATCTGGAAAACATAATCCCCAAAACCAAAAGCAGATTCTCCCTTGAATATTTATTTGAGTACTTCAAATAAGAATTTGGATCCAATAAAATAAGAGCTACAAAATAAATGATAAAAACAGAATGAAAAGAAAGCAGAAACTTAAAAACAGAATAGATATAGATGAAAAAACTGAGCAGATGGGCCAGCCCTGGTGGCCTACTGGTTAAGTTTGACATGCTCTGCTTCAGTGGCGTGGGTTTGGTTCCTAGGCACGGACCTACACCACTCTTCTAACAGTGGCCATGCTGTGATGGTGGCTCACATGCAAGGTAGAGGAAGATTAGTGACAGATGTTAGCTCAGGGCGCATCTTCCTCAGCCAAAAAAAAAAAAAAAAAAAACCTGAGAGGATATTAGCAGCTACATACCAGGGAGAAAGATTCCACAGATTTAATCCAGGCAAGTTGCTTAAAAAAACAACAACAATAACAAAGCAACAACAACCCTTAGAAGGAGGAAAAAATCAGAATCCAAAGTTGCTACAATATATTATCTAAAATGTTTAGTCTCAACAAAAATTTATGAGACATGAAAAGATGCAGGAAAGAATGACCCAAACTCAGGAGGGAAAAAAACCTCACAGAATTGAAAACGTCCCTGAGTAGGTCTAAATGCCAGACTTAGCAAACAAATACTTCAAATTGCTTTAAAGGACTAAAGAAAAATATGAGGACAATGCCTCAAACAAATAGAAAATCTCAACAAAAAGATAGAAATCATAAAAAGAGCTAAATAGAAATCCTAGAATTGAATACTGAAATAGAAGGAAAAATATCAAAAAATTTGAAGAGGGGCCAGCCCAGTGGCGCAGCGGTTAAGTGTGCATGCTCCACTTCAGCAGCCCGAAGGTTTGCAGGTTCGGATCCGGGGTGCACACGGACACACCACTTGTCAAGCCATGCTGTGGTGGTGTCCCATATGAACTAGAGGAAGATGGGCATGGATGTTAGCCCAGGGTGGGTCTTCCTCGGAAAAAAGAGAAGGATTGGCATGGATGTTAGCTCAGGGCTGATCTTCCTCACAAAAAAAAAAAAAAAAAAAACTTGAAGAAGAGTAATAGAAATTATCTAACCTAAGAGAGAAAAGAATAAAAAAACAAAACAGAGCCTCAGCGACCTAAGGAACAACGTCAAGTGTACCAACATACATGAATTAAGAGTTCCAGAAGTGGAGAGAGAGAAAGGACAGAAATAATGACCAAAAACGATACAAACTGATATTTTTTAAAAACTGATCTACATAGTCAAGAAGCTCAATGAATCACAACTACAATAAACACAAAGAGATCCATACCTAGACATACAGTAAAACTGATGGAAGCCCAAAACAGAAAATCTCGAAAGCAGCAAAAAAACCCCACAACTCATCATTTATAGGGAAGCAACAATATAACTACTGACTAACTTCTCATCAGGAACAAAGGAGGCCAGAAGGCAGTGAAATGACATATTCAAAATGCTGAAAGAAAAAACTGTCAACCAAGAATTCTATATCCAGCAAATCTTTCAAAAATGAAGGTGAAATAAAGACATTCCCAATGACTTAGAGAATCCATTGCTAGCAAATCTGACTTGCAAGAAATAATAAAGAAAGTCTTTTAGACTGAAAGGAAATGACACCAGATGGTAACTTGAATCTACACAAAGAAATGAAATGAAAAGCACTGGAAAAAGTAAATATATGGATAAATTTAAAGAGTTGTATAAATATAAGTTTTTTACTTTCTTCTCTTAAATTCTTTAAAAGACAAGATTGTTTTAAGCAGTAATAATAATACTGTATTGTTGGGTTTATAACAAATATAGATGTAATACATATGACAACAATTGCACAAAGGAGGGGGAAAGAAAAGTTATCTAATAGAAGTAAATTAGTTTCATTCTAAACTACTTTAGAATGAATCTAAAGTAGACTGTGATAAGTTAAGACGCATTTTATAATGTCCAGAGCAAGCACTAAGAAAATAACTATCTGGAATCTTTTGCATTTTAAATTATCTGGTAATTAAATTATTACCAGATTATTTCCACCTTGCCACTTGGCAGGTAGGCCACTGTTTCTTTTCACAGCATTAATGAACCCATTCACTTTTTCTCCATGTAATTAAAACTGTGAGTTACAGATCACATTCTTAAAGTGGCTTAGCATACAGCCAACTCATGATTTATTAATAAAATATTTGACATCAGGTATTTCTCTTTGAAAAATAATGTTGAGTTTCTACTGAGTTTTCCTCCTATTGTTGTGAGAGTAGTGACTTTGTTCTTTTTATTTTTTTATTTTTTAAAGATTTTATTTATTTATTTTTTCCCCCCAAAGCCCCAGTAGATAGTTGTATGTCATAGCTGCACATCCTTCTAGTTGTGTATGTGGGACGCGGCCTCAGCATGGCCGGAGAAGCGGTGCGTCAGTGCGCGCCCGGGATCTGAACCCGGGCTGCCAGCAGCGGAGTGCGTGCACTTAACTGCTAAGCCACGGGGCCGGCCCTCTTTTTATTTTTTTGGAGAAGAAATACAGACTCATAAAGGTTATACAGCGTCCAGGGTGGTGTTTCATTCTTAACGTTCTTAAAGTCTGGAGACTTAAAGGGCAGCTGATATTTAAAAAAAAGAAAAAGAAAAAGAAAATTACTCAAAAAATAGTAAAAACAAAAGACAACAGCACAGTGAAATAATTAAAATCATACACTAAAAAAATTTCCATTTAACACAAAATAAGGCAGTTAGGGAGGAACAAGGAAACAGAAAAGACATGAGACGTACAAAAAACAAATACCAAAATAGCAGAGGTAAATCTAACTATATAAAAATTACACTAAATATGAATGGATTAAAGACTCCACTCAAAAAAAACAGAAATTGTTATACTGAAAGGAAAAGAAAGACACAACTATATGCTGTCTACGTGAGACACACTGTAGATTCACAAAGAGACTGAAAGTAAAAGGATGGAAAAAGGTGTATCAAGCAAATAGTAACAGTAAGAGAGCTTAACGTCAGACAAAACAGACTTCAAGACAAAAAACAGGGCCCGCCCTGTGGCTTAGCAGTTAAGTGCGCGCTCCGCTACTGGCAGCCCGGGTTCGGATCCCGGGCGCGCACCAACACACCACTTCTCCGGCCATGCTGAGGCCGCATCCCACATACAGCAACTAGAAGCATGTGCAACTAAGACATACAACTATTTACTGGGGCTTTGGGGAAAAAAAAGGAGGAGGATTGGCAATAGACGTTAGCTCAGAGCCCGTCTTCCTCAGCAAAAAGAGGAGGATTAGCACGGGTGTTAGCTCAGGGCTGATCTTCCTCACAAATAAAAAAAAAAAAAAGACAAAAAATATTACCAGAGACAGAGATATATCATTAGCATAAAAAGGTGATGACATCAGGAACATGTAACAATTATAAATGCATACTGACCTAACAAA